ATCTTTAATCCCTAGCGCATACACGCTAATTCTTGCACATTCGTATTAAAATTAACTCTTTCACTGGCTCGAAAGGGAAGTAAATACGTCAGTTCTGCTTGCTCCATATGAACTTGGCAGAGGCAGGCAGGAGCACCCAGGGGACAGCTGGAGTGGCTGAAATGTCACCTGCAGCTTTCCAGGTAAATGTTAGACACTGATAAGGATGCTTGTCCCATTTGGCAGGTAGGGAGAGGAAAAGAAAAGAAATCTCTGCTCACTGTTCTGGATTTGGCACTTTGGGAGTGACAAGCACATCAAAGCAGGGGATCATCCTTTTCTTTCCATTCTGTGATTTTAAACTGGGCTGTTCTGCAGATTAACAAATTATCACCACTGAATAGTCATCTGCTGTATTTCTTTATGTACCAGAGTCAACTGAGTGGCACGTCTTTGAACTGAATATCTTTTCATTCTACCATATTCTCCCATATGTTACCCAAATCCACCTATGAAAGTATGGCAGGATTCATTAAAACTAAGGCAGGTTTTTAACTTCATGCTTTTGTTTCTAGATAAGGTACTTAACTGAGTTCAATGTTGTTAATTTTAAAATCCTCTGGAAAAAGAATTATTTCAATATAAAGCATGTGATTGCAGAGTAAATCTTAGGCTCCATTGACCATGAAGGATAAAGAAAATCTTTGCACAATTATATATTATGCAATTTCATATGGGGTTACCCTAAAATCCGATTTTTTCAGCTGAATCACCATTGTTCACAAAATGTTTAACATCACTTCTGACGACTGACTGATCTCTTAGAACTACAACAATTATTTTATTCAAAACATAATTTGTGCTACAGACTCTTCTGACATATTTATTATACATTGTTCCACTTCTTCAAACCTCCTGTCTGTTTGATGTCTGGTCTTCACTCCGGGAGATCATCAGGACAGCGTGCCTTGGTCTCTTTTTGGAAAGCACTGACAGAAGCAGATGATAACAAAATAAAAAGCCAGATTAGAAGTAAAAATATAAGGTCTTTGTTTGAATTATTAGTATTAATAAACAGCAGGATTGAACCAGAAGGCTGTAGCAGATGCAGGGGATCAAAATCCACATATATATGGAAATACATACACATAGACATGCATATCCACTGTATCCATGTGTGTACTTGCATATATGTGAGAGTGTGTGTGTGTGTGTGCATTGAGATGTTGATTCGCTTTATACACAAAGCCAAGCAAGAGATTTTTCAGCAATGTTAGGGACTGAAAAGAATCTGGCAAAAAACCAAAGCTGCCCAACTCTACTCTCATTAAGCCATGGGGACTTTTTTCTCTCTCCACAATATTCTGTTTTGATTTAATATGTTTGTTTCAGCGTATCCTCATCCATTTATGTGTGCAGCTGTTAATGCTGCAGGTTTAATTATCTGACTTAGGAGTTGTCTAATCTATAGCGATATTAAGATTTCCATAGAGCAAGCAAGCAATAAAAAGATTAATTCAAACCTCTTTTGCCTCCTCCACTCCAAGGGTTCATGTAGGTTAAGGTTCAGCCATGATAAGATAATTTGAAACCTTCTTAAAAGTTGTCTGAATGGAAGAACAAGGAGTTGCAGATATCCAGCAGCTTCTGAAATCAACCTAATTGTGTTTGTTACCTAATTTTAGGAGTCTGTAACTGCAAATTTTGTCTCATATGTTGTACAACTTCAATAAAGAAGCTTTGTGAAGTTAGTTTTTCCTGCTTGTCAGTAAAAACTTAATTTGCCAGCAAAATGCTTTTTTTTTTTTTGTTTTCATCACACTAATGACAAATAAGCAGTTTAGTACAGTATGTGGAGATTAATTTTCTTGCCAATTGTGTGATTTCCCCCCTTTTTACATTGAAATGGCAAAATATCAAAGTACTGATTTGCAATTATAATGTGCAATTATCAGCAGTAGAGGATGTGGATTAGGTGATTTTTCTAATTTTATTATTTCATAATGTTACTTCTTGTTGCAAAACACTTCAAATATAAATCTTCCCCCAGTCAAATCTCACATTTCTCTCCACAGTTTCCTCTCTCTATTCACCTCTCCTGACAACATTTTTGAAGTCACCAGCTCCCCACCATGTGCAGATTTGCTTCACTACATTTCCTTCTCTAAACTGTGCTGAAGGCCACAAGCTGTTTCCTCTTGGGCTCTTTCTCAGTTTTGCTTCCCTCCAGTCTCTGCATGCCCTCAGCTTCTCTCCCAGGCTTTAAAAGGGCCATGAAGACATTTTTGGAGGCTGGAGGTTACATTTTGGGTGTAATCTCTGTGGTTAATCAAAACAAAGCCTTCCAAGGCAGCAGAGCTTGTTAACTGCATTTTTAGAAGAGTAATGTAATTGCTGTGTACCTACCTTTGTACTTTTGGTTCACTTAGCAAGAAACAAATTATTGCCTTATAAATCACTGAGAGACCAATATAATTCCTTATCTCTATTGTACTTAATTAATTTTAATCTCAATCTTTTGCTTATAGAAATTGAGTTTTAATTAAAGCCCATTAACAAAGGTCAAATTGACTTGGCATATATGACTTTAAGCTGTGCTAAGAACTTTCAGCTATCAACAGCTATCTGTTACTACCAAATAAAACTCCAGTAGTAAAACTGATATGAACTTAGGAGTTGTTCTTGCTGAAATAACACTGATTGCTATCTCACTTTCTAGAAACACAATTTCTTATCTTTGTTAAATACCCTTTTATTGGCATGATGTCATTTCACAAAACTGCCACCAGACTATTTAGAGAAATGTCTCTTGCACTGTCCAGATATAACTGCAAACACAAATTATTTATGTAGTTTGTTCAAATCTAAATAACAATAGTTGCTCTATATTATTCTGACCAGATATTATTTGGGTCAAAACTCTTTTGATCTTATACTGTTTTGCTTATTGTTTGGACAAAAATAACTGGGTTTGTGAGATTTTAATTTCCTTGATAAGATCTTAATTTTGGGGAGGGGGAGATTTTTGTGGGATTTCACAATTTCTTTGATAAACAAAAGTATTGCTTTTTTACAGTCATAGTTTATTACCTATCACAAGAAATATTGAATTGTACATTAGAATAATTATATAATGTAACTTAATATGAAAACTCTTCAAGTGCTGAGGCATGGAATTGTTAGCCTACCCATACTGGGATCCATCAGACTGAACCTGCCCAGTGATCATAATGCCCAAATATTTAAACACTAGGCCTTAAAACAAATAAACAACCACAGTACCCACATCAACTTCCTCGCTGTAAGACTTCTATAACCTTATCTGCACCTTTCAACATCCCTATTTACATGTTTTAATATGTAAATTATACAGTTCAGTCATGTGTTTTCAAGTGGGCAGAATGACAATGGGAAGGTTGTCATTCACTTCCATGACTGAAGCTGTAGAAATGGGATAATAAACGGGTACAAAGACAGAAGTTAATGTTGAGGAACTCTATCCTACTGTACATCTTTGGGGGAACATAAATAAAAACTCAAAAGGACTGCTTTCTAGTTTTAGTAAATGGCAACTGAGTGTAGAGGGCTTAACACAAAAACAGTGTTCTTGAACAGAGAGGCTGCTGGGCCTCCAGTCCTCTCATTATGGGGATTGTGAAGCTGATCTCTTTTGTAAGCTGTTGGATATCTACTGGTAAGAGACATTATCAATGAAAACTTGTAACAGAGCTTTCTTCCCTCTCTGTTTCCATGCCCTGTAAGCTCTGAAATAGCTCATAATTAGCAGAAGAAAAATGTGTAACCAAAATAAATAAAACAAACAAGAGGTGGAAGCTGAAACACCTTAGAAGTCTGGCCAATTTTACACTTAGGGAAATCTGGAGAGACTGCAGACAGTGGCTGTAAATGATGGCTGTAAATTCAGATACAAGCAACTTATTTTACCTCTGTGTGTGCTGGGCAAAGTTCAGTCCATTTGTATCTTCCAGTTAATGTTTTACTCAAAGAGGGCACATATAATGCTTTGAACAGTTCTCTAATTAAGATATTAAGGGAATGGCAGATCTGAATTGTGCCATTTAGTCAGACATGATCACAAGGACAATGAGGTGTCATCAGGTTCTGCTCCTTTCTGTGAGAACTTGGGGCTCCATTTGGCCATTGATAACCACAGCTCAATAAATGTTCTTGTGGGGCCCACTATCCCCGTCTTCCTAACAGTCAAAGTTCTGCTCTGAAAGGTAATAACACAGAGGAAATATCTGGGAAAGAGGCAGGGATTGAGGCATCAGCTCTGGCAGTGAGGGAAGGCCAGCTATGAGCCTAAAGGCAATGCCAGACACTTCCAAGGGGACAGTTCCTATGAGAAGATTGTCAGGGACTTATCCAGGTGACTTTGTTCAAACCAACAGCTCCTGAATGTAATCCTACTCATCTTTATCCTGACCCCATCATGCCAGGCATAACGTCTAATTTAATTATTGCGCTCTGTACAGATAAGAATTGTTTTCCCTGTTTTTATAAACAAGATAACATCAAAATTGCAACTTGGCAGGGATCACTGGTAGGTTCAGTGTGTTGCCTCATGGAAAATTAGACAGTAGAAGCAACAACAAGACCAAACCCTTTTCAGTCAGCAATAACTGGGTCTCACCATCAGGAAAAGCAGCACAGGAGAGCAGCAAGGAAGGAAGTGGGGTTGTGATCCACCTTTTTAAACTAATTGGCAAATGGGCATTTTTAAAGCCAGCTGAAGAGATGGAAGGTGTAGGTGTAGAGTCTGCTCAGGACTCAGTACTTCCTACCTATCAGGGTAACAATGTTCTTCACATTGCAAAAGTTTACATGACACAGTAAAATGGACTACTCATAATCTTGTCTCAAGTTCATGATACCTGAAAATAATCTTTTTTCTACCTCAAAGTCAAAGTAATAGAAATCAGTTTTCCATTTATGTTTATTCAATTAATAGAACACAGAGACGTTTATATTCCTGATAAAAATCTGTGTATCACATTCAGTAATATTCAGGAATGTAAAGAGGGTAAAATCTTCCTCTACAGAGAGTATATTTACTTGTTCTTCCTCAAGGCAAATGAACAACAGCCAAAATGAACAGGGGTGTGATTTATTCCTTCTCTTTGGCAGCTCTTCACTTCCTTAATTCTTCAAATCTAGCACTTTCTGGTCTCTATTATGGATTGTCAAGCTATTCTGCAGTGCTGCAGTTTGAATCACAGGACGTTCTCAGGCTGTCATGACGCAGCTGTGATCTGTGATCTGCACTGGGGTACAGAACAGGACCGCTCCAAAGTCAATGACTTCTGGAATAAGAAAGCTGTTTTTAAAAAAATGTCTTTCTGTTGAGGAAGAATGCAAAAGACATGTTTCCCACAAGAAGGTAAGTTCAAGGAGCACTGTTCACTTGACATCAAGTGAGTTCTCATTTATGAGTGAAAAGGGTTTTCAGAAGTATCTCTCTTCCTGAAGACCCCAGCTGCTAATTTTGATGCTTTAAAAGCAGTATTTTTTTTCATGTAAATGCTTTTCTCAATCTTGTGGTAAACAGAATAAACTGACAGAATGCTTTCCTGCACTAAAGTATAAAAAGTCAACAAACCGCCAAAAAGGGAAATTGTCTTTTTTCCACTCTCCATCTGCTGCAGGCAGCTGAAGAGTAACTTATAGCAACCGTAGATTAGGAAAAAAATGCACATTGCTATAGAAATTGCCAACAGTAGACTCACTTGGAGAGCTTGGCTTTATTTGTAGACATTTCCAAACATTATTTGTTCTTTTTCAGGGTCTATTTCAAAATCCATCAAAGCCAGAGACAAGACTTCCTGTAACTTCAATGCCTTTGGAGCAGATTCACAGGGGAGAGCCTGTGGCACCCTCAGCCCTGGCATTTTTAGTATGTTCATGTAGTCACATTTCCAGTAGCAGAGAAAGAACTGGACAACGCTACCAAAGACATTCATCACAAAAGTGAGCTCCTACTGGAAATGTCTGCATCATCAAGCCAGAACATTTAAGTACAGTCTCCTTCATCATGCCTGTGCTTTCAGAAACAGGCTGTGTTTTTCATATCTAGAAGGACAAAGTGGGAGGGCTGGATGCCAGTTGCTGTGAAGCCTGGCAAGTCACCAGGACTGCCAAGAAAGCAAGGGAGAAGAAGCAGGGAGTCTGGAGAAAGCGTCATGCAAACATACAGTGGCCAACTAACAGAAGAGCAGCTGCCCTCAGCTCTGACTGCTGCAACAGCTTGAATATTAAACACTTAGATTGGGTGTTCCCAAGCTGAAGTTTGTGAAGTTTTGTATGGGGCCTGAAAGGGACTCCTAATTTGCAGACACTCGCAACAGAAACAGCTGATAATCGTAGTTACAGTCTCATTCAGGAAGGGGATGGGTGTCTGGGCCAATTAGCTAATTAGAATATGGATTGGCCTTCTCCAGAGCTGGGAAATCCAGTCCAAATATTCACATCCATAAGCTGCTCCATAAGCTCTCCCTATTAATCAGTCAGAAATTCATGTGGGATCTGTTCCAAGGGTTCCATAGCTGAACTCTTGATTTACAGGTGTGGTGAGAAGGAAGACATCCAACATACTGTATTTTCTTCTTTCCTCTCATCCCCCACAATTTTCCTACCCATTAAACACTCTCTGGCCAACTTTATCTTGAAAACCCTGATAATAGTCTTGCTTTTTCCAGCAGAACAAAACAGCCATAAACAGGGGGTCCAGAAAGGTCTTGGGATTGAAGTTCAGTCTTGGATGTTGACTAGATGCAGTGCATGCATTTGACTTTGGCAGAAAGCTTTGGAGCTGCACTGGCACTCTGCAGGGATGGGCACTGCCATCAGCCCAGCAGTGCAGTGCAGGAGGCATTTCTGCAGTGCAGGAATCCAGCCAACACCGCGGAGTCCTCTGTGCTGTGGTAACTGGCTCACTGATCCATGTCTAAATATAAGTGCATGTTCTTTCGGTTTTGGGTTAGTGGTATAAATTAATAATAGTGGCATCAAGCTCAAAGGAGTTAATGCCAAGGACAGGAGGACCACAATAGCTAAAATCCTCATTTGTACTGTGCTTCTACTAAGCTGGTGGCTTTGTAAACCTGATGGATATCTTTTATAAGGAAGTTGCAATGCATTTAGAGATTTCAGCTCCTAAATGTTGCTGGGCTTGCTTCCCAAAGTCCATCAGCAGCCTTTGGAATGTGCAGATAGAGCTCTCAAGTAGTTCTGATGATTAAGGCAATATTTTCATCTTTCCTAAATCATTGGTTTAAGTTATGGCCTTCTCTTGTGCCTCCCAGCAATATAAATACTGTAGCTCCAAATAGTTGAGCAGCTTATCTTTCAAGGGATGATGGGAGCACTTCACCTGGTGTGTGGAATTCTAAGCAGACACAACAGCTCAAAATCAAGCTTAATTGGAACAGCTGAGATGAATCTGCACATACGTAAACAGGAGGGCAGGATGGATATGATACAATAATTGTAGACATTACATTAGCATCTAAAAGAAGTACGTCAAACAATAATTATTACATATAAAGCGATCCAGACCAATTAAATATATCTAGAGAAGCAGTGTGTTTTCCCATCCCATAACTCCTTTTGTTTCTCATTTTTTTTATTCTCACTGTTGTATCTCTTTCCTGTTGTAAAGACCTCCCAACTTTAATGTTCACACAATGAAGCCTTTGATGTAGGAGCTTTATCTCACTTTTCCATGTGTTCAACAGTAGCATATATCAACCTTATCTTCTCTGTTCATTAGGAAAGCAATAATTTAAATTTTTCTCCTCAAACTGATCTCACAAGGGATGTGACATTTGTACAATAGAGCTCACAAGGGTCATTGCAGGGGCTTAGCATCAGCACAGTACCCCCCAGACGCAATCACAATTATATATTAGAAGTCCTGTTCTGTTCCATGCTCTATTGCTGCTGCTGTGGCAAGCAGCAAAGAAGGAGAAATGCTGATGACATGACAAGGATATCTCAAGCTTTTGAAGAAGGCATCAAAAAGAGTGGTGCCTGGAAAGCAAGATGAGTGTGATACACAGCACTGAGCTGAGAATGTGGCTGGGGGTCACAGTTCTGATTTCTCTTGCTGTGTGCTTGGCTGTGGAGGAAGTAACTGATGAAGGAATACTTTGTTCAAAGTACCAGCAAGCTTTCAACCATTCATGCTATGAGTTTGTTAGACTCCAGCAAACCTTCACAAGTGCCCAGAGATGGTGTGAGAGAGGAGGAGGGCACCTTGTCTTTATTCAAAATGAGGACACTCAAGAGTTCTTGCAAAAACATATTGCTGAGGACCAGGAATGGTGGATTGGACTGATCTCAAACTCCTTGCTGAATGAAACTACTGATGGTAGGTGGTTTTTAAATCATGTCTCTAAAATTGTATCAGCTCACAATGCTTTCTTAACATGGTAAAAATGCAGTGCCTTTGTAGATATCTGCTGAAAAGCCTCTGTCTTTTGTTGCTGTATCTTCTGATTTAGATTAAGGTGTTTAATTGCCTGCTTCACTGCCTTGTTGCATGTTATTACCTTTCCTTTGGATCTTGTGGTTGAGTGAACACATGGTGAATGAGACCAGGTTGCTGACCCAGTGAAACAAATGTGCTGCATAAAGTCTCCAGTGGAAGCCAATTCATCCCACCAGGAAGTGCTGCAATGTCTGATGCAAGGGAAATGGTGAAATCTTGAGGCTGGGAGCACAGGTGGAAGTGGCAGTATCTCTTTTCATGATTGTATCAGGTTCAATATAAAATGTAATTAAAAATCCTTGCCCAGACTGAACCATCTCTGCTTCAGTAAGGAGCAGAGCTACAGTCCTGCTCTGCAGGCTCTAATTGTTTTACTGTGGAAAACAAACATTCAGGACACAATTTCTCTGTTCACAGGGTCCATAACTTGGCTGGACACTTCAAACATAAGCTACAGTAAATGGTACAAGGATCAGCCCTCTCCCTTCTCATCCGCATGTGGGTACATACTGAAGAATGCCAAGTATCAGTGGGGTGTGACTGAAAATTGCAGCCAGGAATTTTACTTCATTTGCGAGTTTGGTAAGATACACAGCAGCTGGAACAGTGAAGTGAGAGTGCCGTGATCACAATGGGGCATAAGCTGCCTTGTTGCTTTCAAAGTAGCTAGGAAATGAATCTACTGAATGTGAACAAGTAAAAAGCCATATAACCCTGCAGGTTATATGGAGCAGGTGCTCCTTTTGCAGTGTGCTAATGTAAGATCTGATCCATAGAAGGAAGAACACACAGGTCACTGGGAGATGTAGGTGCTCAGCAACTAGATATTTAGGCCCAGGGTTCCAGCACAGGGTTGATAAAATAGAAATGGATCTGAGGGTGAATCTAATGTTTAGCTGTCCACATCCTCAGTGGATATAAGCTGGCTAGGTTAAAACACGGCTGCAAGAATAAACTCCCACACCTGAGCACCTGAGCTAGGTGGGATGTGTGGCTGCCCTGTAAAAGCACTCATTAATGTGTGCCAAAAAAATTTCCATTTGTAACTGCAGCAAAAATACTGGCAGGCTTCCAGAGGCACCACTCCTTGCAGCCTGGAGTGAGCAAAAGTGAGAGCAAGTTTTTCTTGTTTCTTCTCAGACCCCTCCATCAGGTGAAGTTCAAGGTTTTCCCCAGGTTAAGGAAGCAAACAGGAACCTGTACTTCCTGTGTTCAGACAGAAAATCCACAGACCTTGTGTCCCTCAAATTGTGACTTGGAACAAACAGTTCTGGAGATGAATGATTTCAACATATAGATACGAGGGGAATTTGTGTTCCTCACACTTTGCACAAGAGTACTTTTAACTGCAGCTAGAACTGGGGTCACAAGCACTGGAAGGACAGTCTAGCTGTGGGCTCACTAATATAAAAAGGCTTCTAGTCAAGTATGCAAGTACAGGTTTCCACAATCCCTGCAACTGCTACTGCCCTGTCCAGCAGTCTACTACTACTGACATAAATAACAAGTTGTTCTGCAATAAGCAAAGCTAATAAAGTCTTGTTTCCTATCCTGATTTTCTGTTCCGCATCCCCTGCCTCCCCTCCTCCTCAGTTCACTCTCATATCCCCACCATGTCCCACCTCTGCAGATACTTTTCACTGCCTCAGCTCCCTCCCCTGCAGCTGCTCCAGAACTCCAGCTGTATGTGCTGGCCATTTGAATTTCATGTCCCAGAATAGGCAAACATAGGTTTATAATTCCTACTCCTCGAAGAGGCATTGATGTAGCTCTTTCTCTTCTCCCTAGATATTGCATTTAATCAAATTTTAGGGTGTTGGAGGTTTATATCTATACATCAAATTAAGCTGAAGATGACTAACATTAAAAATGACTGGGGGAGAGGAAACTGGCAGACAGCACAATCCCTTAAGCTTATTTTCCCTGCAAAAACAGACTAAAATTATTTTTCCATTCCAACCACGGTAGACAACTGTCTGTTTGTAAGGAAACTATCATCTGTTACCATAGGATCTGACTGAGCCCATTAAATTCAAAGAGCAACAATATCCTACACTACATTCATCATTCCACTACCCAGGAAACCAAGACCAGATCAAGGCAATTCTACCATTTGGTGCTCTGTAGGTTGGCAGTTTATTATAGTACCAAACCAGGGTTTGTACCTAGAAACACAGACCAAGTTTTGTGCATCTTTCCATGTAAAAGTGCGAGACAGCAAATACTGTGAGAAATCTTCATATAGAGAACAAAAAAAGGCATGAGATAATAGTCCATACTAGAATTTACCAGCAAGTTATTTTTCAAGCTTATTTAGAGAGATCTAATCTGCAAACTGATCATGTTGCTATAGTTACAGCCAGGCTTAGCTTTAGCCTTTAAATAACAATAGCACACAATTATTGCAGTGTGCACACATTGGCACTGTTAATCAAGGGGCTTGTAGGGAATGATCCAAACAACAACGGGACGACAATGTGTTTAAACCTGGGGCAGCTGAAACAAAAACATCCTTTTGCAATACTCCCATATGAGAGCAGTTATTCACATCCTCCTCTTCAGGGTATTAAGCATCCTGATTACTACACGATACTAAGAATTCTGAAAGATAATTAACTGTCCCAGATTAATCAAAGAATGAGGTATATGCATTTAGAGCAATGACCTTATCCATCTGAGCAGTCCTGTTGAATGAAGTCAGTCAAATATCACACAGGAACAAAGGAGTCTCTGTAGCAGAAATGAGATCAGCTCCCATACTTAATATGCAAACTATTCTCCAAGGCAATTACCTGAATATTATGCAATCCATACATCTCTTTCGGAAGTAAGGAGTAATTTTAAACATTCCAGTATTTCAGGTCAAACAAATGCTAAGAGTCTTCCACAAAAATACTATTTTTATAATTAAAATATTTTTGATTATTTAAAATGTCCTCAGTGTTCTAAGGCAGTAAAAACATAAATCTATTAATTATGACTTAAAAAATAAAAATATTTAATTATTTTGTAATTTCCTTCTGTTTTCTTAATTGTTCAGCTTAAAAGGGAGAAAAGGGAAGAAAGACTAACAAAACAAAATTAACATGACATAGAATTGTAGCAGGATTTTTCAGAAATTCAAAAAGGTAATATTTGGAGTTTTTTCTCCTATTAGATTCTGGCCAGAGCATTGCTTGTGATAGTTACAATGCCACTGTACAGTGTGGATCAGGAGAAGTTATTCAAGTTGAAGAGAGCTTCTATGGGCGGAAGACCCCTCACTACTGTGTGCCAGAGACTCCTCTCCAGTTTGAAACAGATGAAGGCTGCAGCTGGATCAGTGTCAAGGATGAAGTGGCAGGTGGTGTCTTACACTATTGCTTGTCAGAAACAGTGTGTACCAAAATCCCTCGAATATTTTATGCTGTATTCCAGTAGGCTTAGCAAGTGGGAAAGTGGATTATTCCTAAAATGAAGGGAATCACAGAGAATTTCTGACAGGGAGGATGTTGCTACAGGAGGCTGGATGGAAAGGAGGAATTTTGTTAGAAGCAAAGATTCAGAAGAGGGGAGGAGAAAATGAAGGACAAGGGTGTGCCTGGTTCTCACAGTAGGAAGAAAATATGTGAGCACACTGATATCTGTAACAAATTCAGTGGGATACACGAGGTTTGACAGAGATGGAAGGCAGAACATCCAGACAAACCTAACTCCAAACCAGGGGGGGTGAAAAGGCTGATGCCCATGGGGATACAAGGGCAGGAGGAACCTGCTGCTGTCTGCCACATGTCAGGCACCCACCCTGCTGGAGCCAAGGGCTTGGAGGCTAAACAGTGACTGTCCCCAGGATGATTCTTAGGGCTTCCAGCCAAAATGAAACAAAATACATAAGTGTTTTTCTGGTACCTTTTCAAATTCAGCTTTGTTCCAATAAAATGAATTGGTGCTAAGAAATGCCACACGATAAGTAACACACTAAAGTCAAAGTGATGTGAGAATTTGTCTAGAAATCAGAGACATGATACTCGTCTTCCTGCCCTTTTTGTTTCTCAATTTCTGTCTTTCATCTGAGCTGTAGTGACAGTAAAGGCAAAAGCCACTTGCTGATCTGAAATTCTCCCTTTCCAGGCCAGTGTCATGGTCTGCAGGCCTGCCAGGTGGCAGCAGATGGCACTTTCTTTGGAGATCCTTGTCCAGCTTTGGGAAGCTATTTGTCTATTCAATACCACTGCAAGGAAGGTAAGGCGGGGGGGGGGTCCTGTCCCACAACAAACCCTGTGCTGTTCTTTGCTGTAACACTGTGACCAACGATATTTATCTTAAAATTTATCATTGTTCCATCCTCAGGGAAGAAATCAGAATAGTGGTGATCACTAAAAATAGGCACAAAAATGTAGATTCCCTGTCCTAACTGAGGGGTTTGGGTAGAATATAAAGCCCAGAAATTCAGACACATAAAACAAATTTAGATGAAATTATGTTCCAACAAGAATCTTTACCAGTAGATATGGAAAAGAATCAGCTCTCTGTCACACCACTAATGTACACGAATTAGCAGTAGTATCAACTGTAGTTTGGAGCAGGCTGGCTCTCAATGCCTGAAAATTAATTAAATTTTGCAAGAAAAGTAGACAAACATTGGCACTGAATTCTGTCATTCTGTTTTGCAGGTCTGCAGCTGGTTATGACAGACACATGTTTTGTCTTTGAAAATATCACGGTCACTTTGAACTGGCTGCTCTCACCATACTCTGGGAACCTTTCCTGTACCATTAGCACTGGGGATGGTTACACTATTGATCCTTACTACCCTCTAACGTAAGAAAAAGCCTTCATTTCTCTTCAGACAAACACTTTGCATTGCATTCATTTCAGACAAGTACTTTTCATTGCTTGCCCTGTATTGAATGTGCCAAGTCTCATAAATGAGATGTTAAAAATTAGATAGCTTAATAATAGAACATACATACAAAAGACTTGGATCTTGCAAAAATCTGTTCTGAAATCAATAAAAAATTTTACATTAAGCTGCCAACAACAACAATCTTTCTTCTACTATAACAAGTTTTTCCTATTTCCAAGAGTATTTATTCCAGATCTTAAGACTCAAAATTACTGAAAACATGTCAGCAATTGCCAAACTACAAGCAAATATTATTCCCTTAAGTTTAAAGAGTGTTTTTGATAACAATTAAAATATATCAAGGAAATTCTGTAATTTTTCTTCTGTTTTAATTGCATAAAAATCCTGTCTTTAATAGATCAAACATTTTTTTTGCTGAATTTAATAATCAGTTTTTGTCTTAATGGTAGGAATGACATTTGAACGAATGAAATCTGGGGATGTGTTGTCAGGTAAGGTGAAGGATTTCCCAGGATGGTCTTCCACAACAGGCAGCTGTTCTCTTTCTATTCTAGACTGGTCAGCAACCTCACATACAGGTACTCCTCTGCTGGGGAGTTTACTGTTTTTGTGGAGTGCACCACCAGCGAGTGGCACGTGATGGCACAGAGGCAGGTGACTGTTCAAGATCAGGTGGATCAGCTCAGCATTTCTGGGTGCTACAGCCAGTATGAAACAGGGAACAGCTCCCACTGCCGTACCCTGTATGGAGAGGTGTTGTGGATCCAAGTTCAGCTCAGTGGAGGTGAGGATAATTTCTCTGCATGATTTAAAGAGAAGGGTAAATAATATTGCCATCCATGGGATAGAAGCGGGATTCTTATTATGCAAAATAATCCTTCTTTTTAGTGAATGCTTTCCCTCTAATTGCTGTATTCCTGCAATTTAATTCCCTCAGTTCCACTGAAGGAGTTTTTTCTCAGAGGTATTTCACCACCTAAAGCATAAACCATTTTTTCTTATTGCCAAAGCTGACAGCACAAGCATAACTTTGATCACAAAAATCCACATTATGCCAGTCAGAATATTTCTGTATTTGAAGGTAGAAATTCATGGGAATGCTCCTCTGATTAGAGTAAGAGGATTCCACTCTGAGCTGGACACATTTGCTGGTGTACATTTCTTTCTCTCTTCAAGCTCCTCAAAGCTCATGTGCTAAAAAAAACCAAAATTCAGTAGTGTATGTTTGAATTCTCTTCTGAGAATTCCCAGCAGAAAACACGTGATAGATTTTCATTAAGTCACCTTAAGTGACTTTATTAAAAATGATTGCATTGCTGCAGTGTTCCTGTGATTCCTGTATAAACACTGGAATGCTGCACAAAGCAGCTGGAATTTGTTGGCCTGTTGTACAAGCTGTGAGAAATTTTCATTTGTGTGTTTGCAGGCAATGGAGTAACCTACAGCATATTTGCAGATAACATGACACTGACTGAATCCAGTGCAGAGGAAGGTCTTGTCCCCCATAACCTGACACTCAACAGCGCTTCCCAAAAGCTGATAGGCCCAGGGATGCACTGGCTGGAAATCCGAGCATCCGGGAACACGACGGCATCAGAGATCTCCAGGAGTATTGCTGTTCATTTAATTGAACCAGTATCTGGGATTCAGGCTGCAGTAGCTTCCCACACTCTGCAGCTGGGGGAGGATTTGGAGGTGAATGTCTCTGTGTCCCATGGTGCCCCAGAGCAGCTGATGTTTGAGGTGATTGGATCCAACCAAACCCACTGTCACAGAGCAGACAGCCCTCGTGGGGAGCTGCAGACGTACAGCGTTCCTGCTCCGTCAGAAGGTACAGCACACTGACACCTCCTGTGCTTCCAGGACATCACAGATGAGTACAGGTCACGTATAGAGTCACAGCATCCTGCTGACAGTAATGTACAGCTGAATTTGGCATCTTTTCTGACTGCTCAAACTCAGTCGGCAGAGCAGGATGAACAGCACAGACCTATGTAAGTGAACTAAAAAATGGAGCTGACAAATGTGTCTGCATATGCAGACTCAGAGCAAGGCTTCACCTGATTCTTGCTATGGAATTGACATAGTTGAAAGACATAGGGTTTATTTTTTCATGGCACCATCTGATTGAAGTACAAATGAGGACATTTTCTTGAATAGCAGAGTGTTTTCCTCCTGTTTGTTCATAATGTTTCAAGTTTAGACTGCTCTGCATTTTGCTCCTCATAATCTGAGGAGTTCTCAGTAGTCAAAGACAAAGAAATGTGTAATTTTTCTACCTGTCTTTTTCCAGCACAACTTTTGTTGGAGTTAATTATGAATAAACATTTTAGTAATAGTATCCTTCCATTATTACACAGTCAAGGCCTTTAAAATGTGGAATTAGGCAGATTGTGCTTAAGAGTTAATTAAAAATGGCAGAAGATAAAGAAGTTACCACCTTTAATGAGCTATTCCAACCCCATGCCGAAGTGGAAACATTAGAAGCTAATTATGATTTCATTTCGTATTTTAAAATTATTCAATATTAAAGTTCTATTTGTTCTCCCTGTACCCATTTGAACATCCTTTCCCCATAGGCAGAAATATTCAAACAAGATAGCTACTGTCTCAAGATGCCTAAACTCATTTGTCCCCCAGTGTTTGCACACTTCTAGTTTCCTGTGTGATATCATAGTCAGCTGACAAAGAATAGCGTGACAAGGGCTAGGAAAGGGGCAGCTGAGTTATTAGGAAGTTGAGATAAAGGGGAAAAACATTCCAGGAAAAGCCTTTCAGCAGTGGACACCCATCAGAAACCCCCCTGAAAACTCTTAACAGAAAAGAAGGGAGTTTTCTTTACAAATTGTATATTATACCCCAAACATGTTGGACTGAGCCCATGCTACTCTTAACTGGCCCTTTGCCTTCTCTAGGTACTTTCCAAGTGAAAGTGGTGGCCATGAATGCCTTCTCAAATGTGAGTCTGGATCTTGGATTCGTCACTGTGTTGGCAAACGGTTCCCATAAAAAAGGTAATGGCATTAATCTGACCTTGCTGGTTTTGACCACGTAAGTGTCTTTTTGCAATCAGAGCATTTCATGGAGTGTTTATGGTTTTTATGTAGTAATTGCTTTCCTTCCAGCAACAGCGCTGAAAACTTTTGTGGAGGCTTCTTCCTGATGGAGGCAGATTCCCTGACTTTGATGTAGTCATAAATTAGCATCACTCTGTATATGTAACACATTGCACATTTGCTGTTTGTCCTAGAAATAATGAGTGCAGTTTATGGCTCGGGACATAGCTTTGAAACCAGAAAATATTTGCATCACAGCAGTCTCATAAATTGTTGTCACTAATGGCTTCTAGATGGCTCATCCTTACATTTACAAGAGCAGATTATACCAGAAATAAAATAACCTTAGCACTAATTGTACTGAAAGTTTTTCAGAGCTTTCTATCAATTTTCCTTTGTACTCCATCACCTTCTGTGAATATATTTTGATTTATACCATTATGTTTGAAGAATTAAGATCATCTCCTTTGTAGTCTGTGATGAGCTGCTTGTTACCATTTTACCTATTTGACTGTGCAGTTTATCACAGCTCTGGAATCTGATTCTTACAGCCCCATCTTTCGTACTGTCAGTAGTCAAATTCTGTGGATTTAAGTCATATTCACTGAGGGTATCTGAAAGCTTTACAGGTAGCACTAAAATATTCTGGTCTTCTTTGCATTAAACAGATTCTGCTGAGGAAGAAGGCATCTACAAAACAAATATCCGAAAGAAAAATGTAAGTATTATTTAAGGATCTTTCTTTAAAATTGCTTAGAAATTTTTCTTACCAGTGAAAGTACTGTATAAGACAGGGGAAAGAAGTATTTGTAGCATAGTAAATTATGGAGTAGATGTTCTGTTCCCCATATGGTTTAATACAAAATCTACAGCACAAGTCTTGGAGACAAATGTGTTTACTGGCATTCCATCTACAATTCATTAAAAAGATTAAAGAAAATTAACTTTTCACAACAATTCAGTTTTGGAAGTTTAAATTGATCTAAACAAGATGAATTTTTAATTCATCTACATGATGAATGCAAACCTCTCTCTGAAGAGTGATCCTTCAAGTAGAGTTTAATATATTTTATATGGTTCCCAAGTGTTTTCTATTTCTGTATTGGAGTGTTTAAATTATTTTGCAATGAAAAATTTTCCAATTTATGGCAAACTAAGAAGTTAATGATGCACCAGTTGCTAGCAGGTGTCCAAATTTAAATAATAAAAATGCCAGATAGAATATTTTATCATCTTAAAAATCTAGTTTTTAACTGTAACACTAGCAGACAGACATCTGCTGTGGGAGATATACTGCTTCACAAGAAGCCATCATGCTTTACAGATTGCCTGTAAGAATATATTGCATTATAGGAATATAAATCTAATCCAAACCCAAGTGTATCACAGTTCTGTACACAGAAAGACAAGCTCAGCCACCCCTTGTTCTCTTTGTTTTTAGCTGTAATGTATCCAATTCAGAAAAAAAAGGCATGCACCAGAAGACAAATGGCTGCTTGAGGGTTAGAAGTCTTTGTCCACATGTGAAGGTTTAATAGGAATTAATTTCCTAAGTACCTAGTTTTGAAAATGGGAGCTGCACTCCTAAACCAATTCTGTATTTGGGAAAATTTTACCACACAATTTTTCTGTGCTATCTACTTCTATTCCCATAGCTTCTACTTCTATACTATCTCTGATAAGGGGAAGATCATTTAAACTACAGATCTGCATCCAGTGATTTGGGGTCTAAACTTTCAGACCATTTTCATTATAAAGAAGCAACATATATGTGTGTTTATACATGTTTGTGTTCTAACTGATACATTTACTTCTTATTTAGGATCACAGAATATATATTAAACCGAGTCGCCATGTGGATCCTTTTACAACTGTTACACTTGGCTGGCCAGACAACAACAATAATTCCAGTTTTCTCTGGACCTGTGGTTTGTGCATTTCCCAAAGTTTTTTTACCAACTTGTACTTGATGAGTAACCAACTCACTGTTGTGTCAGACCCAGTGTTGAAAATCTGACTTAAGGATGCTTCATTTCCTGGTTTTTAAGTTTGCCACTCACTGTACATAAAGAATATCTTTCTACCCAACCCTAGTTTTAGCACCAAAGTAATTAAGGTATATAATATGGCATAGTACTTCAATTTGTCTTCTCCCAAAGGTTTCAGTTTCTCAGTTTTTGAAGATTTACCTGTCCTAAGTTTCACTCTCATAGCCAAGGACTTGTCCCAAGTGATTTACACAGTTAAGCATTTGCAAAGTACATGTGTCTCAATAAAACAGCAATAATTACCATTAAACATGATGCAAAAACATTTCTGACTGAAAACAGGATTGGGATTCAAGCCATCTGTTTCTAACCCCATAATTATCCCTGACCTCATACATGACTCTGGAAAAGCCTGTACTCTGAATCCAGATTACCAACTCTTTAAACTGTGTTCAAGAAATTTGTCTATAAAGCTTTTTTAAACTTATGGCAGGAAAGTCCTTTATAACATGCTGTTCTAACCATAAAGGAAATGTTTCTGCAGGTGCTTGTTGGCCTGCCTGGAATGAATGTGTGAAGCAACAGATAATCCAAATCAACCAAAGCAAGGTGCAAATCCCACCTTCCTGCCTTCCTCCTCCGAAATCAGCAGTGACTGTCAGGATTATGGTCCAAAGCCATGGCAGTGAAGAGAGGCAGGATGAGCAATGTCTCTATGTGACTGCAAAACAAGAACTGCAACTGGAAATCAGGTTTGGTTTTAAACCCTGGTGTCCACAGATTAATATTATTACTGAACAAGCATAGTGCAAGTCCACGGTTTCCAATAATAATGATAATAAAGTGGTATTGTATTTTTAGAATCACAGAGTCATAGAATCAAAGAATCACAGAATGGTTTGGGCTGGAAGGGACCTTAAAGATCATCTTGTTCCAACCCTCAGTCATCAGCAGGGATACCACTAGATCAAGTTACTCAGAGCTCCATCCAGCCCAGCCTTAAAACTTCCAGGGATGGAGCATCCACAGCTTCTCTGGGCAACCCATGCCAGGATCTCAACACCCTCACAGTACAGAAAACTTACTGTTCTAAATCCATTTACACCTTACCATTATAAAAATTACTGACCAATAAGCCTTGCTGCATTTTTCAGTCAATGTTTCTGAACACAATCCCTTTATGAACTGAAATGCATTCTTCCAAGAATCAATTTAGGGTTTTTGACCACACTGCATCCTTCCATTGGACATTTCAATGTGTCAACCTCATTGAAACAACAGGAATAAATGCCATAAGGTAAGTATCAAATTTCTCCCAGACATCTCATACTATGTGTAACTCTCATCTTACTTCTTTACAGGTGTGAGGCAAACTGCAAGCCAGTGAATGTTAGTGATGAAGTTGTTTTGAGTGTCTCTGGACAGGAGGACTCCCATACAATATCTTATGACTGGTATTTAGATAACACATTCATAAACAAGGTGAGAGCACCAGATTTGTCAGAAATACTGCACACACAAAAATAGATATCCACAAGGCCGTATGGCCTCAGAGGGATATTTTGTCAAGTGGATACTTAGAAAATACTAGTGATGACCAAGAAAAGGGGGTGTCTGGGTTGGGAGGGGTTATAATGAAAGGCACCAAACTGCCACCCTGCTCCTTATAAATCACAACAGAAAGAACAGCAAAGAGCCTCTACTGCCATGTGTTCTTTTCTGTCTGATTTTCCAGTCTACAACCCTCCCTCCAGCCTGTGGCCTGATTGGTTTCCAGCAGAACTCTTTGAATTTGCTTCAAAGCAACACATCTGTATTGAGAATTCCCAGCTCCTTCTTGCAGACACAGGGAGAAGCTTTTCAGATTAAAGTAAGAGGTAGGGGCTAACAGGATTTTTAGCATTTTACAGACTCCTTTAAGGCAGTTTCTGCTGACGTGACATCATGTTGATGTCACACGTGCATAGCCTCGCTGATAAATATGAAGGTAAATTAATCCACAAATTGAAAGGTGTTACTTTATATGTGAGTTCTTTAAAGTAATGATAAGTTTGTTCTTGGGTGTTGCACAGCAAGAGAAATTCAGTTACCTTACTCCAAGCTGTTAATAATTTTGTTAAGGCTCACCTGAAACGAAGTTACGCTAAATGCTTGATCAAATAATAGAGCTTTGCTTTATAACGCAAACATTAACATATTTGAGATAGTTCTTTTGCTCTTATGGTCTATTCAGTAGCAGGATTTCACTCCTCATTAGGCCCAGGTGGCGGAGCAGACAGCCGCGCGATGCAGAGCGCTGGGGCACGGCCCTGGCCGATGCTCCGCTCTCTGCTGTGCCGGGCACGGCCCTGGCTGATGCTCCGCTCTCTGCTGTGCCGGGCACGGCCCTGGCTGATGCTCCGCTCTCTCCTGTGCCGGGCACGGCCCTGGCTGATGCTCCGCTCTCTCCTGTGCCAGGCACGGCCCTGGCTGATGCTCCGCTCTCTCCTGTGCCAGGCACGGCCCTGGCTGATGCTCCGCTCTCTCCTGTGCGGGGCACGGCCCTGGCTGATGCTCCGCTCTCTCCTGTGCCAGGCATGACCCAGCGAGGCTACGGCGAGGGCTCGTTCCTGGTGAGCACCGTGCCCCCGCCCGACCGCCCCGCCTGTGCCGTGAGCCCCGGGCACGGCTCCGCGCTCACCGCCTTCAGAGTCTCCTGCAGCGCCCCCGGCTCGGAGCGCTCGGGCCGCTCCAGTCCTAGCAGGCAGCTCACATATTGCTTCTATGAGACACCCAGTAAGTCCCCAGGAGAAGTGCTCGGCTTCTCCTAACAAGAGCAAAGGCACAACCTGCCCTGCTCTGCAGGGAGACTGCTCATGACGGACCATGCCCCGAGTCCCCTGTTCTGAGAGAGCAGGAGGTGTCTCTGTGGTGTCTGACCCCTTCTTTCCCATTTCAGATTCTCTCCTGGATTGTAGCCCGGATCCTGAACTCTTCCCAGTTTATCTTCCACTTGGAGAAGAGGAAAATAATTTTATTTTACATGTGACAATCATTGTTAGCAACAACTTTGGTGACAGAGTTCAAACAAATGCTTCAGTGAAGGTACATGATAGAATTAAAGTTTCAAGAACTCTCAAGTTGATAACTAACCCACAATTGACTTTTGGAGCTTCTTCCTGTTTTAGATATATAACTTCCTTCTGAATGTGCCATAATCACCATTGTTCTATCTAACAGAGACTGTGTGCTCAAGGTCAAAGGACCTTCCACTGCCCTTTTTTCTAGAACAGAAGTCTACAAGAATTGTTTGGACGTTGATTGAGCAGCATAAGCCTATTTACTGAGTATGGAATTACACTGTGTAGGCCCCAAAAGACTCCTGCTTCTTCCCCAGTGCTACAGCAAGGAGACCCTTATCAGGCCCTTAAAAATAAAACATCAAAAATGGAGAATATCAAAGTTTTATGTCTCACTCTATCTAGGCTGTCATTAAATGATCATGGAAGCTGCTCAAAGAAAATTTTAACAGCCTTGGCAATGTTGAGATCATATCTGATTCCTTCATCAGGTTGGACCTGCAGATACGATGGATGGGAACCTGACCCTGCAGGCTGTGATATCTGAGAAGGCAAACACCATCCTAAAAGATGGGAACAACAGCATGAGTCTTTTCCAGCTGTACAAGTCAGTAACATCTGTCCTTAATCAGCAGATCCAGGAGGAAAGTTTTAACATGTCTTTACAGACAAATACACGAAAAGAGGTCAGCAAAGCTCTTGCTTTCTGCTAGTACAATGTCATATAATGGAACTCTTCATATTCTTTTACAGCTCCTAAGTAATAAAAATCTCACATATCACCACTTGAAATCAATGAAGATTTCAAGTTTCTAGCATCTGTCTCAGTGTTTGGCACTGGTTTCAGCTAGTTTACATTACTTGTCTACATAAATTATTTGTTTTATCACTCATCAGGGAAACAGTTAACTCTCAATTGTTATTTCATTAATTTAAACTAGTTAATCTAAACCTGATTTTCCAAAGCAATTTAAAAACCAATAACATGGCAGCTCCAGTGGGATAAGTATCCTAATTTCCCCCAAAAGCACTAGATGGCAGGTAATTTTCTTTTGTCCATTTTAGTCACCAGTTGATGTTTCAGTCATAAACTGATATTTGTACAGTGCTTTGAGTGCCTCAGATGAAGAGATCTAGAGAATGTATCCTTCAATTAAGATTCATTATTTGAATAACATCAATCACACATGGCTCTGCTTTCTCTGGAAGTGGCATTTACACAGTAATTCACATACATTAGTACAAATTCTCACAAGTAACTCTCCTTGCTCTTAATGGATGTTAAGTGTATGAATTCTCTCTGCTGGGAGGTAACATAAAACTCATGATTATATAATTACTAGGGCAAGTGGCATCTTGTCAGTAGAGCTAATATCAGCTCAAATGATTCTTGTTGTGGAGCCTTACTCTACTGCATAACTTACAGCAAAGCCTGGCTGTCAATACACAGCACTACTTTCACAGTCCTAATTAGCATCTTGTTCCTTTGCCTAATTATCCCTTTTCATCCCAAGCTCCGAGGGCTGATGCTGACAACTCTCTCTGTTGTTAACATAACATCAATGCAGACTGCTCTGAAGATGTCAGAGGTATTGAAAGAAATCACTTACAGGAGTGAAGAGCTGTCTGTCTCAGCACAGGTAAGAAGCAATCCATCCTATATCTCCTCACACTAATAGTAGAGACTCTAATTATCCCACTGACCTTGGAAGAGTTTCAGTGCCTTATAATTATCTGTTCTTACCCATTTTTCCAACTGTACCAGCATGTGTATCTTAACCAGCAGCATTTTGACTTTTTTGATATTGTCTCAGCAATCTCTACAATCCAGGCTATGACCATTACATTTATCATACTTTTTTGAGATAGAATCCTTAACTTTTAGTCAGAAACATGCCAGGGTGCATGTTTTCTCTTGTAAAGCAATTTTAGAGCCCTGAAGAACTGTCCCAAGAGGGTTTTTCTAGAATTGCCCACATTCATTCATCCCTGATCCTGGCACTGCATAAAATGCACATAAGCAATGGTCAAGGAACATGTCAGCACCCAGAGGAAGTGGGCACAAATGTGCAGGTTGGTCTCATAAAAGTATCTCTTGAATCTTGTCTAGCAACAAGATGTTGTTAGTAGATGGTGCTATTTATGCTTATGGGGTGAGCCTATGGCAGGATAGAACAAACTGTCACTGGGGGAAGTTTCCCAAATAAAAACAGCTGTCCTGATTTCTGATGTATTATAGAGCTGGAGCCAGACAATGGCTTGGGAGCATTTCAGCAGGATGTGGTTAACTTTGGCAAGACAAGAACACAGCTCAGGTCCAGCCCTCACCCTACAGAAAGGCTGAGCAGCATTCACAGGCTGTGGGGACGGATCTGTCCAAGTCTGCAGTGAATTTGCTTGGTTCCTTCACTATCCTGGGCTAAAATCTGGCCAGTGCTTTCCCAGTCACAAAGCTGCATCCAGGCACAAAATAAAAACTGTAAAACTCATTCTCCTTTGGCACTTAGCACTTTGGCACTAAGATCGAAACATATAACCTAATTTACTACTTTACTGTAAATCTAAAAGCTATCCTTGCCCAGAGTTTGACAGACAAGCTTCCTTCAGATGTTATTTATCTTTTTATGGGTTACATCTGTAGAAGCATTTTCATGCCTGTATTCCATTTTGGTGAACAAATAGTATGTCATCTTTATTAGCATTTGAACTATTTCCCTAGCACAGATAATTATAGTAAAAACGGCATTATCCACTAATAGTCCCAAGAGATTACTGACGTTGCAATATTCAGTAAATGACACAAGTGTCACTTTTGTCATTTGCAGTGCCAGCACATATAAACTGCTCCCTGTGTTTCTCATGCAGGTGGAAGCCAGCAGCACTCTGAAACATGTCAGTGCCTCCTTGCTTGCTGTGAACACAGAGCACATCAGAGATGGTCAGGAGTTAAAGGAAGCAGCCAGCTATCTGTTTAATGCAGTGAGCAATGTTCTTAAAGCTTCTGTAGAAATCAGAGCTGGGAACGCTTCAGTGCCAGAGGCAGAACAGGTAATTTAGATTTGGTCCAGTTTGTACCGTTCCATGTGTGAATATTTGCTCTGGGAGGTTTTTAAAAATCTCTGGTGCCTCTTGTATTTTTAAACTGGCACCAGGACGAGTTCATTGTGACAACATGATGGATTTGAATATTAGAGGAAATTTCTCCCCAGTTAGATATGTTAGATTGAATAATGAAAATGATAGAGACTGCTTAAGATTTGTTACATTGAAAGCTGAACAGGACACAAAACACAGCATCAGCTCTGACCTCTAATCAATGACAAGAACATTGTGATTTTTTTCAGATTTGCTTCTGTCCCCTCCTTTTTCCCCATAATTCAAGGAAGCCACAGGTATTAAATATTCATGACTGCCATCACTACTTCACAGCTTGAACCAGCTCTGGTTGCTGCTTACACTTTCGCAGAAAGCTCTGATTATCTGTTCAGAAAGATGTAACATTCATTTTGTCCTACCCTTTCCTATCTGTATGTGAATTGTCACAGCTAACTCTGTGAGTTTCCTGGGCTGAACATATTTTAATTTTGTCACTGCAAGGGAGTAAGGATGAAATATGAACTGGATGAGTTCCCCAACAATAACCCACTAATAATACACAATTGATATGTAATTAGGTCTTGCTTTTCCAAGTAACGAAACACTAACATGTGCAGCTAAGGGCATTAATACACAAAAGTACATCAATATATTGATTGATGTAATGTTTATAATTGCAATGTGTAGAAGTTACAAACACTACAATATAAAAGTAAAATCTGTAAGGCATTTATTTGCCATTTACAATGTTTCAATGAGAATTACAAAAACTGAATTGTAATAGAGTAACTTTCTCTAAGATTAGGAATCTCATCACCAAGTTCGTCAGTTTAGTAAGACACCAAAATTAAATGGTAGCAATGACAAATAAGGTGCAGCTTCATGATCCTGAGTACCTTTGTTGTAAGTTTCCTCTGCCAATCCTTTTCCAGAGTTCAGTGTCACACCAGCTCCTAAGCACAGTTGAAAATCTCCAGAGTGCCCTTTTGTTTGGGAAGGCACCGGGTGATGAGCCAACAGTCCTCACCTCTCCCTCTGCCACAATGTACATGCACAGGTAACAGCTACAGTGTCCCCCACTGAAGCTTCTGAGAGCCACAAATGTTAATTCCATTGTGCTTAAACAGAATGTTCAGAATTAACTAAATATTGTAGCAATTTCAATAGTGCAACAAGGCTGTTATTAGTGACTGATAGTAAGAGAAGCTTGGACTCCAGGAACTTCACCCCAGAAGTTCACATGCTGTGTGTTCTTTAACCAGCAGAGAATTTACTACGATTTCCTGAATGAGGCAGTAGTCACTTTGAAATTATGTAGAAAACTCATGTCATGCAAGCTAAGGGTTTCTTTCCTTTTCTAAGTTCCCTATAATGACATGTTATATGGAACTGTAATCAGCTTGGCAGAAGCAAATATAATCCTGAGGAGCCTGACGAGCATTCTCCATTCCCTATAATCATCCCTGAATTGTTCCCTGAGAGCCTGTTTTTCATCCACTTCAAACTGTGCATTCAAATCAAGACCATGTTCACACAAAAACCAACTTTCAGATAAGTACACCTTGGTAAAACTTCCTCTCCAGATATGCCAATTCCACCCCTTTTTTTGATGATTCTATGGTAATGTTACATGGAGTACTGCATCAGGGAGAGATTAATTTATGAAGTATTTACTGGAATACGTAGAAATAGTTTTGCAACTGAGTTGTACTCATGAGGAGGGAAAGATTTCTCTCTAGATATGAAGTCCATGCTATCAATGTTTGGGTTTTTTCTGGTGACTTTTTTCCTTTATTTTTTTTTTTCTCTTTTATTCTGCTTTGCTTATTATGCCCAACCCTAACTGGACAGATTACGAGCAGAAAACATGGATGGTACATCCATTAACATCTCCAATTCCAGCTCTGCCAGTTTTACTCTCCCGCCTGCTTCCTCTCTCAGTGTTCCAGGAGTTGATGGTGAAACAGTAGATATAAGGGCAAGTAAACAGCTTTTATCCAACTCTATCTGATATCCAGCTTACATTCCTGATATAATGGTTTTAGAATCATTTATCCTTTCATCATAAACACAGGAGCCCATGTCATTCCTCCTGTCATGCCAGTAAAATAATTTGAAATTATTGGTCAAAGAAGCCTTCTTTTATCTTAATTGCATGAGTTTGGTTCAGCAAGTTAAGGACAACTGAATTCTTAAATTCCCCATCCCATCAGCCCCTTCCATACACTTTGATTCACACATACATGGCAGGAGCAGGCAATGGAATGAATCAATACCTACAAATCTATTTGCTGTTTGTTTACATCTTATGCTCTGAGGAGGATGCAACACCTCAGAGTCCATATCACATTCAAACAAATCTACAGCAGCCTTCTTTCATTCCAGCGAGAAACACCTGAGTGTGGGGCACTCAGATCCTGCAAGAGACAAATGGGCTGATGGTAGCACATCCCCCATCTGAGTTAGGATGTGGTGTTTTTTCCCTCAGAACAATAGATTGCATATAACTGCCATATTTTCATAATAAATTTTCTGAAGATCTCTCTGGTTGATTTGACCCTCTCAAGAGACCCATAAAATACCTGCAAACATTTTTTTCATTGCATCTCTTCCAACTCTGACAAAAAGGTGTCAGTGTATGGAAACAATAACGATTGTTGTACACATTTCAGAATGAAAATCACTTTCAAGGTTTATAGACTCACCTTAGAGATAAGGTAGAATTTTATTTAAATCTGGATGCAGACTTCTTGGAAGTCTACTTCTCTTTGGGTCTGAGCTCAAGCTTTCACTGTTCAGCAATTCAGAGTGTGAATAAAATGAAATACTGACAATAGCTCAGTTGTCTAATTGTTAATTCTTCTAACAGATGGTGAGCTTTGCCATGAATCCCTTTTTCTCCAGTGACAGCAGTTCTGACATCAGTGGGACAGTGGGAGGTCTAAGTCTAACTGGTCTGGATGGTTTGATCATACCAGTCAGCAACCTCAAAGAGAACATTGAGGTAAATCCACTATTTCCTAACTCTCACACTTTTTTCCCATTTTTTTCCTTTCTCCATTAACAAAATAATTTGTGTTATCACTTGTGAGGTGGATGCAAATGCTGGTAGTGGTCATTACATTAGATAATGGGCTGATGCTGTCTGTAGTTGTGATGGAGGGATTTATGTGATGTGGTGAATGAAATAACAATAACATTTTATTCTTCCTTTAAATGAATGTAAGAATGCTAATGGTTGTGGAAATAGATTCCAGATTACACTCATCCCAAAGCACAATGTGAAGTCTGATTTCATCATCCAACCACTGTACTACTCTTTTGCTTCCTAGCCCATGTATAAACTGACATCGAAATCATTCATACATGCACTTCATGCAGCCAATGCCTCAGTCATAATCACAGTTCTCAGTTCAGAAATGCACTAAGGGTCATAGGTTTTGTGACGAGTCTACACAGATTTCAAATTAACTTTTCAGAGGTTAGTTGACATTATCAGGAAAACTACTTTGAAAGTGATGTTTTTGCTGGCCATGCTTTCCTGATGTTATGAAAAAGATAATCTAGCATGTGGCTGCATGCTAAGAAGAAAAATGCTTTTCTGTATTTAAACCTATGTCTTTCTGTTTAAAAACAGATCATGTTACCAAGGCTTTCAGCAACTCAGGAAGATAAGATTCTGTTGAATCTGGGCAATTATAGCACTTTTCAAGTCAATGTTACCTCAGAAAACACATCTGTAGTGATCCACCTGGAATCTGAACATGACATCCCACTAATATTTTACCTGGGGTATGGTTATCACCCAAATGAAACCAACTACGATATGAAAAATCATCTGTTTTATAAGAAAACTTCTGGAGGTAAGACAAGTGGTTAGTGACCCATGAAGTTGCAGAATGAGCCTTGACCATGAGTTCAGGTGTCTAGCTGGAAAGAAACCTGATGCTTCAAAGTTCCAATCTCTAGAATAAAGTGTTCATTAACAGGAGAAAAGATCTGGGATGAATTGATCAATGAGCTGCTAAGAATGATTTCACGTCTGTTTCTTTGGTTTATTTATTACATGCAATACAGCTGCATACTTTTGAATTAGGCTTTCTATACATGCATTGAAATGAAAATATTTATGTTCAAGGTGAGACAAACAGTTGGGTTCTCAGCCGAGAAGAACTAATTTTTGGAGAAGGAACCTACTATTTCATGGTTTTACAAGATACAGGAATGGATTCAAGAGTCTACAATGGGCTAACCATAAATGCCACTTGCTTTGCATCCCGCTGTGCATTTTGGGACGAGCACCAGGGAGGCTGGAGCAGCTATGGATGTCATGTAAGTAGAGCAAAACAAAACAATGTGTCTGTTACACACTTCAAAGCCAGCCCTCATAACCACTGTCATGTAGTAAGTGACACCATAAAACAAGATCATTCTAAGATGTTTTAGTTAACTTAAGAAGTTTAGTCATGTTGAACTAACCTTTAAACAACATTCCCATTTCTATTTTTTGAAATGAATTTCTATATAAGAATAAACTGAACCATTCTGACAAGACCACTGTCACTGGTTAGGTGTTAAAAATAATATTCCTTATTGGACCCTGAACAATTTGATGCACAGCAGCTCTCTACACTAACTTACAAATCTCAGCACTGTCTTTTCATTTGCTTTGTAAGTTATCTAATACTTTGAAGCCAGATGTTTATCAGGAATCTTTTCTGGGTTTCAGGTAGGACCAAAAACAAATCCTAGCAGCACACAGTGCCTCTGCAACCATCTGACCTTCTTTGGGAGCTCCTTCTTTGTCATACCCAATGCCATAGATGTCAGCAAAACAACACAGCTGTTTGGTACATTTGTGGACAATCCTGTGGTGGTGACAACTGTAGGATGCATCTTTCTGATATATGTGCTTGTAGTTATTTGGGCTCGAAGGAAAGACATCCAGGATGATGCCAAAGTAAGTCTCCAGCTAATAAAGTCAGTGTATTCAGGCCAATTCCCACCATGCCTAGCCTGTTTTAATATGAAGTCTTTAACCAATCCTACTCCTTTCCCTGAACCTCTCTGTTCACTGGCAAGTAAAAATTGTTCACCAGATCACAAATTCCTATTCACAGCTTTCAGGAATCTGTACTTAAAGGACAGCTAACATGTTGCTCGTGTTGTGTGGCTCTGCAGGTGAAAATCACAGTCCTGGAAGACAATGACCCCTTTGCTCAATATCGTTACCTTGTGACAGTTTTCACAGGACACCGCCGTGGCGCAGCCACAACCTCCAAGGTATCAGTGGCACTGTGTGAGAGGAGAGTTTATTTCCTTAGGGAGCTGGATGAATAATGGAGCACCTGAGGCTATTAAACAGGACAGTTCAAATGCACTGTCTGAGCCAGAAAGCCCTTAGCTTTGATGAAAGGAGAAATAATCACACATAGGATCGAGATGTGCAAATCTTCATTTTGCCTTTTTATTTTCCAGGTGACCCTCACCCTCTATGGACTGGATGGAGAAAGTGAGCCCCATCATCTAAATGATCCTGATACACCAGTCTTTGAACGTGGAGGAGTGGATGTTTTCCTCCTCTGTACCTTCTTTCCTCTTGGGGAACTGCAGAGTATTAGATTGTGGCATGATAATTCAGGTGACAGTCCATCCTGGTAAGTGGAGGTCTGGAGATGCTGGGAAGTAAAAATCCACAAATAATTTTTTATAATGACGACAGCTTTACTTTTCTAGCACTTGAAAATTATCCTTTCTGCAGTTCTAGAAAGAAAAGAATGTGTTAGATTCTAGTTTTTGCAGCTGAATAGACCAAATCACAGTCTAAACTGCAGGACCAGGAGTGTTTCCTATATCCCATGTCCAGTATAGGATGGGATATGTCCTGTGCCTTACTGTTTAGTTACCCTAAGAAGCTGAAAGCCAGAGTTTGTCCTCCACAGTCTTGTTGAGGTCTGTGACTTGTGACTGTGCCCTGTGTGTTTCTTCAACAGGTATGTGAATCGAGTATTAGTCCATGATCTGGCATGGGATCAGAAATGGTACTTCCTCTGTAACTCCTGGTTAGCCATTGATATTGGAGAATGTGTCCTAGATAAAGTATTCCCAGTAGCAACTGAACAGGACATGAAGCAGTTCAGGTACCTCCTGTTTCATGGATTTTTTTACTCTTGATAGCAGTCAGTCTGGAAAAACAAGCATGAAAAAAATAGACCGAAGCCCTAGAAAAAAATAAAAACAAGGAAGGTCTTTCCACTGTCCTTAAAGGGCTCTGAACAAGGGAGGGAGGGAGGAGGATTACACAGATCTAATCATTACCATATTGAAAATATTGGTGCTAAAGAAGGATAGCCTGACAAACCTACAGAAACCCAAACATCTTCTCTTAGGTGAAATTCTCTGAACAATTTAAAGAGGAACTATTCACTTTCCCTCTATGCCGTGGCCAAAAGGAAAGGACATAAATAGCTATGACCATTCCATGCAAATTAAGCCATGATATTTGCTAATTTCACCTAGCTATTACTTTTGCTGATAGTGCCTAGAAGCATGAACAGAACGGGACCTTGAACTAGGGCTTTGTTCTTCCTTCTCCTTTCTACATATCCATTTGATTTCCCTCTTCTCCTTCCCAGCAATCTGTTTTTCATGAAGACCTCCAAGGGTTTCCAGGATGGGCACATCTGGTACTCGGTTTTCAGCCGCTCCCCACGAAGCTCCTTCACGCGAGCCCAGCGAGTGTCCTGTTGCTTCTCACTGCTCCTCTGCACCATGCTGACCAGCATCATGTTCTGGGGTGTGCCAAAGGATCCTGCTGAGCAGAAAATGGATTTGGGTAACAATCCTCACCATTGCTTGGGCAGGCAAATAGACAGCAGAATCTGGAAGCAAGAATTGAATAAATAGGTTTTTCCACAAGAGAGAGGCTTGATGGTTTATTTTGCCTGGGGTTATTTTTCCTTCTCTGCTCTGTTTGACTTTGACAGGTAAGATTGAATTCACATGGCAGGAAGTGATGATTGGCTTTGAGAGCTCCCTCCTCATGTTCCCCATCAACCTGCTCATTGTGCAGATCTTCAGGAACATACGACCTCGGCCAGCCCAGCCGGGCAGAGAGAAGCCGGGAAAGAGTGGCCGAGTGTCCCCAAGCCTGCCTCCCACCCCAGGAGCCACCCAAGCTGCCTCTCTCACTCCAGAGGCCGTGACAAAGGCAAGTCCCAGTGAGTCCTGCACTGCCCTCTGCTGCCGCGCACTACCGGCTTCCCCAGCTCCACAAATTTCCCTGTTCCGATGCCCTTCAAGCCTGTTTGAAGAGAAAAGCCAATTATCACTGGTGCAAAGCATTCATTTACCCACCTAAATGCAATCCTTCATTAAGGTCTGTCTTTGTACGTCCCAACCCCTGCACAGTTACTGTGTGTGACCAAATCACTGTGTTCAGGTGTTAAAGCAAACACTAAACAAGACAGTGAAGATGAAAGGTATCATGGACCACATCTTTCTCAGCTTAGGTCCTCAGGCAGGCATGCTGCCCTCTTGAACCCCAAAAGCTGCCTCGCTGAACTCACTGAAATCTGTCTGTCACATCCGGCACTGTAGGATGTGCTATTCTTATCCATTCTGGAGATTTTAGCAGTTGGTGCAGCTCCCAGCCAGTGGTTCTGTCAGATCACATCAGCTTAAGCCACTGCAGCCAGAGTCACTGCTGTGTTGCTGCTGTCTTTCCTAGGACATAAGAAGAATTGCCAACTCACTCTCTAAAGCCCTGAAGGCTCCATCTCTCACCTCAGCACCAGACCTTGAAAAATCAATGAATATCAACACACTCCTGTCATTGGTTGAGGATATCATCTGTCAGCAGAACAGAGCTGGGCAAGGGTTTTATGATGAGAGCAGGAAGGATGGCCCCATAATTGTCACATTGGGTGCTATGGATATCCAAGGTAAATAACACATTGTGAAATGCCTGCTGAAACCCTTGCAATGAAGATGATAGCACTGGATGTGATGATCCAAGCTCTTCTTACATTCTGACCCAAAGGCAACTACAGAATCACAGAATAGCTGAGGATAGAAGGGATCTCTGGATCCCACCATGCTGCTCAGAGCAGGGTCAGCGGGAACAGGATTGCCCAAGATCAAATCAGTCAGATGCTGAATGTCCCCAAGGACGAAGACTTAACAATTTCTCTGAGCAACTTACTCTGGAGTCCAATACCTATGTTTTTCCTTATGTTCAGAAATTTCCCATGTTTTAAGATGTGCCCATTGCCTCTTGTTCTTTCACTGCACCACTGAGCACCCAACTAAATAAAGGCAACTGTGAAATTTCTGTTTCTTGTGCTGTAGAATCAAATGTTTGCTATCAGTCTGGCTCAGGTGCCGGATCAGTATCTACCAGCAAAAAACCTCACAATTATCAGTTGTTTCACAGTCTTTTTGAACTGTTCTTTTTTTTCTTCTTGGCCTTGTGCTGTTGTTCCTTTCAGTCTGACTCTAAATTAACAAGAATATATGAGTAAAAACAACCTCACTGATTTCATTAAGACAGCCATTTGGCTTTTCCAGGGAGTCTTCCAATCTACTAATTGCACAGGTACACCATGAACAAATTAAAAGTTGATCTGATCAGACCTGTCTATTAAGCTTTTAGGACTGCTGTTTAACTCAGTTGCCTTCTGGAAAAGGTTCCAGGCCATTCCAGCAGAAGAGCATTAAGCTCTAGTAATAAAGCTGCTTTTACATGTCCCTTCAAATGTTAGTCTTCATCACATTCATGACCTGTAGCTCCAGTTCTACCACCCTTTGTATTGAACAGTTTTTAAAAAGGATTTATTTTCTAAATAAATAAATAAATAAATAAATAAACAAATCTTTATATTTATCTGCAGAAAAAACAAGAAGTCCAACTCCAGAGAACAGAACTTGTGACCAGCTGAAATACAGTGATTACCATCGCTGCTTGTACAAGCAACTTCAGCAGGTAGAGATGGAGCTGGAATTACTGGGGCCCCATAAATTTCAGATGCCTCAGAGTTACACACAAGCTGTTTGTCAGGTCCAGCACATGAAGAACCTCCTGGAGAACCAAATCTGCTCATCAACATCCATCACTGAGAGGTAAGCCAGTTCTCATTCTCAGTATAAGTAAATTCAGGTTATAAAATCAAAATTGGACAGGATGACAGAGCCCAAATAATTACTGCTTAACATGTGCTAGGTAACTACTATTACATCTGTAAAATTAGTCTTACTACTATACCACTGCAGGAGCTACAGACATTTCCATGTACTGTGAACTGCAAAGGCAATAGCGACAGATCATTGCTGTGTGTCAATTTCTTTGTCTCCAAAGGGGAAAGTTACAATACAATGCTATGTGATAGAGAAGGGCTAGGATAATCACCCAGCTCCAAAGTTACAGAAGTCTCTTAAAATGTATGGATAAAGAAAAAATAATAACCAGACAAAAATAGTTCAGTGAAATATGATAATTAAGTTGGAAGTATTGAGGAAAAATTGCACTAATTACATCACTTGACCATTATGGTGATCACAAGAGATGCATCCAGCAGCTTTAATGCACTCAAGCTTTGTCAATAATTCTACTGGAGATTCAGTTATGCATGAACTGAGGAGTAAATAGGCTCATCATATTTATTTTGATTTTAGCTGATCTCTGCACACTTCCTCATTTTTTCTCACCGTACTTTTTGGTATCCATATATCCTATATAACTGCATTAATTAATATTTTGATTTTATATCATAAGATGTTGCCTATTCCCAGTGAACCTGATGACTGTGATTTTGGTGGTTTATTTTCTCTTCTGGTTGACTTCCAAGGTGGTCCCATACTCCAAACTTGCCCAGTGATGACAAGAAAAATTCTTCTCCCAGAGGGCTACCCTGGTGGTTTGTGTTCATTGCTTGGTTCCTTGTGGCAGCCACCAGCGGTGTGTCCGGGTTCTTTACCATGCTTTATGGACTCCATTATGGCAAGGAGAACTCCATCAAGTGGCTCATCTCCATGGTCATCTCCTTCTTGGAAAGTCTTTTCATCACACAGCCCTTAAAGGTGAGAGCCTCAGAAATACAACCACTGGCCGAGATGAACTCACCTGCTGCCACTGCAGGAAGAAAATGTAACACGTTCTAAAGAGCTACAGGATTTAACATATAAAATGAGAAGTCTTTGCCCTCAAAACAAGAGCAGGCAGAGTTACTTTTTGCTGACATTAACTCCATTAATTTCACCCTCCTTGCTTTGTCAAGGTTTAATGAGGTTTCTGATCAGTGAGGATGTGTCACAAAATCAGTTTAGCTGGACAAACCCCAGCACTGTGCATTGTTTATGGGATTCAGCTGCATGGGTTCAACAAACCCAGAGTTCAACTGTTTTCCTGCAGTGCCTGGATCCAGAGGGATCCAGGTAAAAGCATAAGGCTTCTTTATATGATATGGGAATATGGTGATTCTATAGCTGATTCTTTCCAGGTGCTGGGATTTGCTGCTTTTTTTGCTCTGGTTCTGAAAAACGTGGAACATGAGGATGAAGAAAACACAGCTATTGATGGGTCTTTATCTGCACCAGGTAACTGCCTGCAAAGTTAAAAATTATTAAAGAAAGTGCAGAATTCTCTAAGCTTTTGGAGGGCTTTATGAATGAATATGTGACTAAGCTCAACTAGCTTGCAACAAAACCTGTAACTATTCCACAGCCTAGTGACAATGACTCTGTGCAAAACACACCCTTCATGTAGACTGGTAGCTCTCTATCCAACTAAAACCTCTCATAAAGAAATTTCCCACATCCTTTAAGCCCTATATGGAGGTTCTCAGGTTACATACTTTTCCACAGCCACAATTATCTGCATTATTCCCCTAAACTGAACAGAGGCTTGTGCAGTCATAATCATATCTAAATAAAGCCTTCACTAGCAGACAGGAATCCTAGGGCACAGCAAAGTTATCTGATCCACAGCTTCGTCCCTGCTCACCCTCAGGCTATGAATACAGCACCTTCTGAGATGCTCAGCCTAGAGAAACACCTGGACCACATATGGTCCTAAACCAAATACACAGTTTTTGTGAGCTCCTTCTCTCCCCACTCTTTGCCTTACAACTGCTTTAAATCACATCCTCTGTATTCAGGGGGAAAGCATTAGATAGAACCGTTCCCTTAGAAAATCCAAACAAAAAGCAGGACATGGATCATTAAATGACTAATTCCAGGGTTCACTGCTCTCCCTCACAGGTGATTCACACCCTCTCTTTGGGGTCCGAAGGGACAGTAGAAGCAATATTTACCGGCCACCTCCTGCTGCTGATGTGGAGAAAATGAAAATCAGCTGCATGAAGGAGCAGAAAGCATTTGCCCTCATCAGAGAAATCCTCGGTATTATCCATATGTAAATGATCTTGTTTTATTCAGTAATACTCATCAGTAATTTTACATCAGCGAAAATATTGTTCTCTTGGGTGACAAAGTTTTGGCATATCTTCAGCTTTCTGTCAGACATTGTGATGTAGATACAGGCTGTTCCATGGCAGCTGGAGCTGCAGGGAGGTGGAAATATTAGCTGGAGATAAAAGTGTGGCTAAGGCTTCATTTTATGGTAAAGAAACACATCACAAACACAAGAGATTAAAGAAAAGTAGAAAGGATAAAAGGAGGAGGTTAGTACTTAATGAAGCTGAAATCAAAGAGAAGATGGAGGCATCTTTCTAAAAGCAGATAGTATCTATAGATAATGATTTATGTCCCTGTCTTATTTCCTCTAAAATCAATGGCAAAAAAAAAATTACCTCAACTTCACTTAGAACAAATTTAGTCTACTCATTTTATTTGGAGCTGCCATGACTACTTCTCTTCAGCCTTCCAACTTATTTTCTTGACTGCTACTCATATTCCAAATGTGAAACGCTTAAACTGCTGCACATTAAAGCAGTTTGGGTGCATTCATTAGCACTGGCCACTCAGAGTCTACAAAGCACCTCCTTGGCCTAATGGCTGCTGGCAGCAGCAATCATTCATACAATCTATTTTGAACAGTATTGGTAAGCAATAGCTCACATGTGCTGTCTCTCCCTGTTTTCTTTCCAGCCTATCTGGGATTTTTATGGATGCTGTTACTGGTTGCCTATGGGCAGAGAGATCCCAATTCCTACTATTTAAACAAGCATATTAAGGACAGCTTTACGGATGGATTCCACGATGTCTACAGTTACCAGGATTTTTTCACGTGGGCGAACACTACTTTACTCAAAAATCTTTATGGATCATATAAAGGTGCAGAGTCACATTGCTTCCCTTCTGTTTGCCAGATTCTGAAACATTATTTTTAATGCTTATCTCTAACTTGCATATTTGAGTGGAGAAAGGGACTGTGAGTGTATGAGGCTAGCAAGGGATCTTTTAATATGAATACCAGTGGATAACAAAACCCCACAGCTTGACCCCAAGTTAAACATCCCCTGATATCTTCCTTATATTTAACATAACTCAAAAGTTATGCATTGCAATGCTAAACTTTTCACATTTTACATTACTTACTCCAGATATTCAGATATATCCTCAGTTTTACACTTCTTTCCATAATTAAAAAAACAAAACAACAAAACCAGAATGGCAGTCAGGTGGCACCATAATGCTTTTCCTCAGGAGAGTTGTTCATATCACAACTTGGGTCAATGTGAAGGCAAATTATGCAATATCAGCATGTTTCTAAATGCCATATCCAGTAAAATATGACCCATTTTCCAGCTCACATTTAAGGGTGAGTATTGGGATATATTAGCAGAGCTGTTCTTTGGACATGACAGGCCACATGAACACTGCATAAAGCTACTCTTCTATGGGACTCGAGGTGAGTCTCTTTTCTCCCGCAGGCCCCACTTTCCTTCTGTATAAAATACAGATGGGGGTGACACAGAACTCTCTTATTGAGAATGTTATTTAAGACCCCAGTTAAAATCAACATGAGGGTTTCATTTTCATGACTATATTGCTTACGGTGTTTCCCAGAAAAGAATATATGGCAAAATATTAATGCATCAGTGAATCATAAATAAAATGAAGAAATATTATTATTTTTGTCATATTGCCAGTGCTGCTCTTTTCCATCTCCTGTTTAGGATTCATTACAGATGGCAATTCCAAGCTGGTGGGTAGCGCTCGAATTCGCCAAGTAAGAGTGAAAGGAGACAGCTGCCCTATTTCTCCCAGACTCCAGCACATAGTTGAGGAATGTCACGCTCCATACTCCCTACAAACAGAAGATACATCCATTTATGGGGAGCACTGGAATACCTCAGTCTTTGATAACTCCTCTGACTTGAGCTCAGCGTGGCAGTATCAGAGTCAGTCCAAACTGAGAGGACACCCCAGCTGGGGTAAACTTGCCATATACAGCGGAGGGGGATATGTGATTCACCTGGGAACTGACCCTATAAATGCCTCCAGGTACCACTTGTGTTCTTGTAAATTATCAGTGCATCCTCCCTGTGGTACTGTCTCATTCCCGTATGAAGTAGATCACTGACTACACATTCTTTTGGCAGAATTCTCCAATACCTTTTCAACAACATCTGGCTTGACACCTTCACAAGAGCAGTGTTTGTTGAATTCACAGTCTACAATGCCAACGTGAACCTTTTCTGCATTATAAGTCTAATGTTTGAAAGCAATGCTTTAGGTGAGAGCCTTTCCTAAGTTACACATTTCTGAAGACAGCAAGCAGTGTACCTACAGAAGGTAGATTTACACACTAGCAGTGTTTTCCTCGTTCTTTCTTCACTAAGGACAAGTGTATTAATAAATCAAATCACAAGAGAATCAATGCAAATTTTCTAAACCATTTAGGAAAAATGCAGCATCACAGTAATATAGACCATAATGGAATATCTTATGTTTGCTTATGCTGTGATCATCTGCTGATGGTGAAAACATTATACTGAAACTTGATCTCCAGAATTTACACAAGAACAAGAAAAATTCTGTTTCCTAATCACTTCTGCTAATCAATACAATATTAAGACAAAAAATACAAATAACAGTGTGTCTCTTTTTTTCCAGATGACCTCTAATATTTATCTATGTAATCATGTAATATATAATCTCGATACAACAAAGGGACTAGTGCAAGCAGATTCTGATTTAGAGGCCATAGAAAAACATTTGGTCTGAGCAGCAGCCTCCATAGGGTGTGTCCAAGTATTGGATAATGCCCAAACTGAGCTCATTTCAGGTTTGGAATGAGATTCAGCTTTTTAAAAAAAAATCCAAGTCCTCCTGCTGTATTTCTGCATTTGTAGTCCAATTCAAACTCAGTCCTGCTGGGATTACTATTGTGCTATCACACAAGACTCAAGCAGACAAGCACTACCACTCTAAAAGCCTTGATGCTCTGAAATTCCTGTTTGAGGAAAATTTCAAACACTTATAGAGTTACATAGTCAAGTCTAAATCTTAGTTTGATGGTTGGATTCAGCTTCACAATGATGTAAAAGCAAGTACAGAATTCTCACTGGTGAATAGAGTTGTTTGAATGAAAGCAGAAGGAGCCCTGAGGTGATCCCTGTTTGTTTTTTAGGGGCCTTCTTCACAAGTGCAGAGCTGCAAAGTGTCCGGCTCTACCCCTACACCAACAGCCTCCACATCTTTGTGGTTGCAGCAGAAGTAATTTATTTCCTCTTCATTGTGTACTACATGATAGTACAGGTGAGGCCAATGGAAAGTTTGGCTGAGAGCATTGTGTTGTGCCTGCTGTTGATTTCACTTACAAAAGCTTTAGGACTGTACTTGATTTCAGTAGCACTGATGTTGCTACAAAATGGAAGACTGAACAGATACAGTGTCAGTATTAAATAATAGGAAGGCAACACTTCATTTGGCTCGGATGTTGTTTTTGAGAAAGATAATGAGAAACTAGCGCAAGATGTGGTTTTATTAATGCAAAGTAGTCTGCTTTATTGTGGAAGACATTGCCCTAATGTTCAGAGGTGCATTGTATGATATGGAGTCAAGAGACTGAAACAGTAAAACTCCTCACAGGGAAAGCTGCTGAAGAGTCTGAGATGGAGATACTTCCACAGCAAGTGGAATCTCCTGGAGATGGCCATTATATTGATTAGCTGGAGTGCTCTGTCAGTGTTTGTGAAACGGACAGTCCTTGGGACCCGAGACATCAGCTACTACCAGGAACACAAGGAAGAGTAAGTATTAATGCTATTTAGTGCATCCTTTTTTGTTGCTACTTATGCAGAAATAAATATATTTTTCCTCTTCCCAGACAGCACCTTGTCTGTGCTAGATATTGCTATTTTAGATGGCTATATATTCATGAAGACTGTAAGTGTGTCAGGGCCTCGATTTGTGTCAGCAATAGGATTTTCTTCTGATACTGCTCTAATAAAATCCAGCAGACTTGAGTACCAAGTTCCCTTTTTTAGCTCCTATTTTTCTGTCTGCATCACCCTCTTGTGAACCAACAAGCCTTTCTGCTACAGGATATCATCCCAGAAAGCACATAACCTGCATTGTTCTTTGTTATGAAAAGCCATTGGTTAGAGGACCAATGGAATATTTAGTACAGAATTGAAAATGATAACATCTTTTTAAAAATGGTCACACAGGAAAGAGACAATAGAATCACAGGATAATGAGTAGAATTTGGGCTACATCCTAGACCTCTTCTCCTTAAAAATCTTAGCCATGCACAAGTGAGCTTTTTGTGTGCACACAGTAGGAAGTGCAGGTGGGAACACTCAAGCAGGAGCTCATTAGGTCTGAAACCCCAGTACAGGGTGACTGGCTTTTCCAGTATACCCATTTATGCACTTCAAAGGATTCTGTATGCACGGTATATTATGTATTTTCTTTTTTTTCCTAACAGCTCCATAAGCTTCAGTGAAACAGCGAGAGCTGATGCCGTTCTTGGCTACCTGATTGCATTCCTGGTGCTTCTCTCCACAGTGAAACTGTGGCATCTGCTGAGGCTTAACCCAAAACTGAACATGATCACATCAACACTAAGGAGGGCATGGGGTGATATCTCTGGATTCATCACTGTTATTGCAATCATGTTCCTTGCCTATTCCATTGCTGTGAGTACCATGGTGCTTTCTCTTGTCTGCAGTTGGCTTCCAGGTACTGTCAGGTTAAATCAACTATTTCTGAATGCTAAAGCATTATATAGCTTTAACATGTAAAAGGGAATAAAGCTGCCTGTCAAAAGTTTAGCAGCTTGGAGTTCAAGTCTTCTTTATGAGTGAAAGAGAAGTTAAAACATCCACTTGTCTGTTCTTTGCAAACTGAAATTTAGTGAAAAATCAAACACCAAGCTGAAAAAGAAGGATTCTCTATGTGTAATAGATATGACAAAGAACAAAGTACAGGAAGAAAGATTTTCTGGATAATGTTTAAATTGTGGAGCATTCAGAAAGTGCCATTTTCTGTTTGACTAGTTTATAAGTGGGAAATAATCATCTTTTTTACAAATCTAGTGGCAGGCTGAACAGATATAAGACATTTTCATATCCGTGATAAAAGGTCTTCAAGCTAAACACATTTTACAGCAAGGACTCTGATCACGACAAAAGACATGACTTCTGTCCTCTGCAGGCAAACCTGATATTTGGCTGGAAGCTCTACTCTTACAAAACTCTCTCTGATTCGGCAGAGACCATGGTCAGTCTTCAGCTGGGAATCTTCAACTACGAGGAGGTACCACATCTAATTTTGGGAAGCTTACAGCCATGCAATTGTCACATCAGCTATCAAATATGCTTTGACCCAGCAAATGGAAGAACTTTCAATTAGTGTTAAACATTAATCTAATTTTGCAAGCTTCACAGCTTCCTAAAGCAGCCACCTTTTCTGAGCAAGAAAAATACATCAAGTGAAACCTCTTCCATGTCCTATTTTGGCCACAAGGAGGCTCATAATGAACCTTTCATTAAGAAACCTGCTCACATTTCAACTACAGATGTTACTAATTGATTACAAAAAGTTTTGAGCAATGTCCTTAGAAAGCTACAGATAGAAATGTGAGCAAAGCCCTGTGTTTGTTCTGAACACCCCTTCTATCATCCCAAGAAGGGCAAGACCTTCCACAAAAAAACTTCCTGCTAATTTTTTTTTGTTATTCTACATATACCACTTTTTCAGTAAGATCTTTTAAATATTTCAACATCCTTTGAACATTTCTTTGTGGATTAATTCTTGGACATCTCTAAAGTCCTCCTTGATGCATGTTTTTAGACCATGGATCAAACAGGATATGGGTAGCTTTGAAGATCAGTAATTTAGCACATTTTTACCTCCACATCCCACTCATGTAAATAATGAAAATATATTCCTATGTTGTAGCTTATATGAAATTTAGTGTTTTGATTTTTCACAACCTTTGGTTTTTAAGTGTCTCTGACAGCCTGACTGTGCTTCTTTGTAAAGCATATAGTAAAATAAATTAATTGCATACAGGGATTTAATCTATTTTGAAAGCTGAAGCATTAGGAAGCTTCAGCTGTTCTGTGGATAAATAGATCTTCACACTTGTCAACTTTCATGTGAAACTGTCATACTGTTACAATAAAACACAAATACTTAAAGCCCTCCAAAGATTGCCCATATTCACACACACACATATATATATAAAAAAATATTATGTTGTCTTCATACGATATCATATCAACAAAGGACAATACTAGAGTAGAAAATTAACATATGTGTATAATACATATATCATAATTGATTAGACACAATTTTCAAGGTGACAGACTTCTTATTGGGTCTTAACTGCATGTATGTATGTATGTATGTATGTAGGTATGTATATACACTTTTTTGGTTGATTTTTTTTATGTCTTACCTTATACAGGTCTTGGACTACAATCCAATTTTAGGCTCCTTCTTAATTGGATCCTGCATAATTTTTATGACATTTGTGGTACTGAATCTGTTCATTTCGGTGATTCTGGTTGCTTTTAGTGAGGAGCAGAAGTATTACCAGGTTTGTTCATCTAAGCTCTCCTGCTTTTAACATTTTTTTGGTCAGTACTTATGTATTCAACCATGGATGAAAACCATGTAAATTCAGTCCAATTCTTAAGAAGGCAACATTTGCTCAGGAAGTACACTTTAGATTTTCCAGATTTACACTGTCCATCCCTGTTCAGATCTGGTTTGTAGCCTTCTGTTTGCATGCTACATCCATCAAAAATCTCGTAGGCTTGTGCTGGGCTGTACTGAAATCTGTGCCAAAACTGCTATTGAAGTGTGTGGGGCTTTACAGCTCCTTTTAAAACTCTCACTGTGAGTGCCTGACCCATTCAAGCTATTGATAGTGTGATGTGAAATCCATCTTAGCACTCCAGTACTGCCCGGAATTCCTCTGTGTTTTAAATAAGGCCAAGGGAAATTAAAACAAAGGATATGACTGATGGAAGACAGGATGTATATTTCATTTTTCTCATTTACTTCATCTAGTGTCTCACTGTGTATACCATGAGCTGTTTGGGAGCTGGCAAGTGCACTCCAGGCTCCTGTAGAGAGATTTCCATGGGATTTGACAGCCAAAATTTCTGTAGTGTCCATACTTATCTGGGGCTTCTGTCTTGATAAAAATACTGGCACAATGTTTTGTTTGGCAGTCACTCATGCTCTGCTGAAAGTTGGCTTTGTTGAGAAGAGATTTTGTATTGCAACTTGCCCTGGCTTCAGCAAAGACTAAATCCACTTTGGGTGTGCACCTCTGAGCAACTTGTTATTATTTCAGGCTTCAGAAGAAGAGGAGATTGTTGATCTAATGGTAATGAAACTCTTCAGTTTCTTTGGGATAAAATGCAAGAAGGAAGAGAAACCGGCCACTGGTGAACAACTAGAGCAACCTGTCAGCGAGTGAACGAAGACCACCTTGAAAAATCACTTTGCTTGTGGGCAAAGTATTTAATTGTTTGCTATCAGCTGCAGTGCTTAGAGTTAGGCTAGGTTATAAGCTTAGGTTATTACGGCTTCTGCTTAAAATGGGTTTACCCAAGGGAATGGCTGGAGCTGTGTCAGGGGAGGTTTATGTCGGGTATTAGGGAAAGGTGTTCGGGCACTGACCAGGCTCCCCAGGGAATGGGCACGGCCTCAAACCTAAGAGAGCTCATGAAGCATTTGGACAATGCTCTCAGGCACATGTGGGATTGCTGGGGTGTCTCTGCAGGGCCAGGAGTTGGACTTCAATCTTCGTGGGTCCCTTCCAACTCGGCCTGTTCTGTGATTCTGGGAAAACGGCGCCGTGTTCACTCCCAAAGCGCTGCCGGCGTGTTATTCTGGAGTAATAGCTAAGAAATAGGGGTAACCCTAAGGCGAAACGTCCCATGTGCACTTTCTGTAGACTTGGCGCCTGTATTTATTTAATAAACATCGAGCGACTGTTGCACAGCTTGGATAAATCCTCTCCCTCTCCGCCGCGGCGGCGCACGGAACATGGCGGCTCCCTCAGGCCGCCCCACGCCCGGGGCTGGCGGGGCGCGAAGCCGGGCCTTGGCCTCTCCTCACGGCCCGCGGGTCCCCTCAG